TTTTTTTTTTTTTTAGGTTTTTCGGTTTTTCTCCGGTACCGGGAACCGAACTCATGACTTTGCGCTTGCCAGGCAGGCGCTTTTCCGCTGAGCTAAATCCCCAGTCCCGGAGTGAATGGCTTTAATCCTTAGTCAAAGTCCCTGCCCTTGACACTTGATACCACTCTAGCAAGAGAAATGCAAGGATAACCCCACCACCAATTAGGAGTATTAATTAAAAGATAATAATGACTTACCTAGACCCAGACTTTACTTGACCTAACGAGTTGTATTTAATGAAATTTGCTTACTTACTCATTCTCTAAGGAGAGGTCAAGTTTAAGTTTTATGTCAGTCTTTGTTATACAGTGATATCTAAAAAAAGAAGCAGTCCCTGCCCTGGTGGGCCCAAAGTCTAGCAGAGAAAAGATATTAAACACATTCTTGCCGAGGTAAATATAGAGCTATAAACAATAATAAATGCTGTCAGGAAAACTTACATGGTCATACAAATGACAAATGAACTCATCTGAGGTTAAAAAAAAAAGGAGGAAAGCTGTCTAGAAGTGTAACAGGTAAGCTGAGAACTAACAAACTGTTGCCTTATCTATAATAAAATGAGGAATTGAGCTGGGAATGTAGTTCAGTGGTAGAGTGTTTGCCTAACATAGGTGAGGCCCTGAGTTCAGTCCCCAGGGCTACCAAAAGAAGGAGGGAGAGAGCAAAAGAGAGATTGTTTTTAAGATGAAAATCCATTTTTTATTTATATGAACTTAATTCCATTTTATATAATAATGAAAATCAAAAGACAATTACATCTGTTTGTTAGAAACTTCACTAAAACTTACTCAACATTTCAGAAAATTGCGTCCCCAATAAAAGTACTGCTCTTTTTTTTGTAATTCATGTGGACATTAACTCACTTTTAGCCCATAGTTTATATGTTTAATATATTTTAAAATGTCAGTGACATCTAACTGAAATACAAAATTGGACTTTATGATTCCTATTTGCCTTGGTTACATTTCTCTTGTTACTGAGACAAAATACCCAATGCCCAGAATTAAGGAAGGAAAGGTTTATTTAGCTCACAGTTTGTGGAGGTTTCCATCCATAATCAGCTGGCTGCAAGGCAAAGTGACACATGGCAGAGGGCAACAGTTCATGGCGGTGGAAGACAGCAAAAGCCACAAGCGCAAAAGGGGAGGAGTGGCAGCAAGCAGCCTCTTTCCCCCCCTTACACTGTATGCAAACAACCTGCCCCAGGGCATGTATAGTCCTCACATCCATAATTCCAACGTTGGACCATGAATCAATTGTAAACTCTAGAAGCCCGCCCCATGACTGCATGAGGCTTTGGGGGAACATCCACACACAAACTGTAACACTATCACAGATAAGCATTTGTGAGTACAGGATGTTCTGTGGGAGACATGGTGTGAAGTGTGTGTGAGAAGCAGAGAGAGGGAGAGCTCTTTAACTTATGCTGACTGCAACCTATCTTTTGCTCAAGCTAAAGAGGAAATAAATTCTTTCCACTTTCTTTCTCCTTCTTTATTTGATAAAACACCACTTTTTCTGCTGCCTCTCCAGAAAATATGTTGTTCCATTCATTGAGTTGTTTTGAAAGACCACCTGCACATCGACCTAGAAGTGTTGTGGAGGGATGTACCCATTACCTCTCCGCTCTTGGTTGGAGGAGAGCATGGCGCATGCAGGGCTGCATTCCTGCAGGGATAGCATTGCCCATCTGCCTGCCAGAATGTGCACAAACCTCTCGAAAGCGCAAGCTGCTTTAAAGCTTAGGTGCTTCACTACAAAATACTGCTTCCCTCACATCCATTCACAGTTGCTGAGGTGTTTCTTTTGTTCCAAGATTTATTTTGCACTGACTTTACAAATTATTGATATACAAATGGAGCTAAGAAAATGTGCTCTCTGATCCTGTTTGGAGTGCACAGCTGTGGGAATGAGAGGTGACTCTAGCAGTGAAAAATCCCTATGCTCTGTAACGAATTGAATTCCAGCCCTTTCTCGGGTTAACAAATTGTGAACCCCAGTTTTTCAACTACAAAGTGGAAATAAAGATAATACTTGCCTTGCATGAGTTGTGTGTGCTGGAGATAACAGATGTATACTGCCTAGTGGAGTGTGTGGCTTAGAATATGCTTTCAGCAGATGGGAGCAATTATCATCAATACCATTTTGTCTCCAAAATTACTGTATTAGTGTATGTATTTATACTTCATATACCCAAGAATATTTAAGACCATAAAGTTCCTTGAGTTACAGAGGTATTAAAAGAGTTGTTGGTTAATTTTCTTAAACTTATCTTAATCCTCTATAATTCACTTTATGCATCTCTATTTGTCTACTAAGAATTGAGACCAAGTCTGTCTCACTCATAGTAGCACTCAGCCCAGTGCCCAGTCATAATGTGTTTACCGACTCAGAGAACCTAATCTTGCTTTTTCTCTTTCCCTTTTAGAGGCCACAAGAAGAAAAGTACCCTGTAGGACCATGGCTGTTGGCACTATTTGTTTTTGTTGTCTGTGGCTCAGGTAGAGTATTTCACTGAACTTATCTACCATGCTTTCTACTGTCCTTCAAAATCCTTGTTTTATTTATAAAGTAAATAAAAAAATATACCAGCCTGGGATTGAAGTTAATCACTGCATTAAGCTTTAATCTAAGTAGGGTTTTATTTAGTTTCTATTTCAAATATGAATGAGTAGAATCAATGCCCTAATAAATCATAATCATAAAATGATTACACTGAGCAGTGAAATTGATTGTATATACTACAGAGTTCAGGTAAGGCGTTCAGTCTAGACATAAAAGAAAATTTATGCCTTGCATGTGGTACATGCCTGTAATCCGAGCACTCGGGAGTCTGAGGCGGGAGGATCACAGCAAGTTGGAGGCCAGCCTGGGCTACAAAGTGAGTTCAAGGCCAGCCTGAACTGCATAGCGAGACGCTGTCTCAAAAAGAAAAAAAAAATTAGAACAGAAAGTGGAACACTTGTCTGCTCAAGGTAAATCCACATCCAAAGAGAGGGAGAGGCCTTATGCCTTACAAGAGAGTTCTACAGAGCTCCTTGATCAAACTGAGCCTTTGACCTGAGCCTTGAGGTATGGGTTACCTGATTCTGTGAAGTACCGACCTCAGAGAGCTGCACTCACACATGGAAACCCGTCTGCACACACAGGGAGATGGACAGAGCACCACACAGGCGTTCCTCGTTCGATGCTTGTTACTGGGGACCTTGACGTGACTCCTGGTCCTTGTACTTGAGTCTAATACTGTGCTGGTCACTTCTAAGTGTGGGAATCTCTGAGGGACCCCATCATCTCACTGTTACTAAAGACAGGGAAGGTAAGAAGTCCACATATTCCTGCACAGGCTCAGACCTCCCATCAAGACATCTTTCTGCCCCAGTGATAAGACAAGCCCATTACTAATGAAGGGTCAGTTTCTTTGATCATTAAGATATTATTTTTCCAAGCAAACAAAAGCTCTTGAGAAGAAAGAAGTACTCGGCATTATTGCTGTTTGTGGTTCAAATGTTTTAAAGAGGATTTGATGTTCCAAGATGAGACAGTCATACACTCAGAGATTTAAAGAGCTGTCCTGTTCCCAAAGATAAGTCCTTGAAGCAAATCTTTTGCACAGTGTAGTAATCCCTTAATCACTATTTTTAACAGATGTTTACCCAATCTCTGACTATTTCTAGGAATGAGATGCTTACTTCTTTAAAAAAGCCATTCCATTTCTGTGTAGCCCTGATTCCATGAGGAACACCTTCCCTGTTTTGAACTGTACCATACTGTCTTCTCAACAGTTCAGATTTGGCCTGCTAGAGTAACACCAAGTGGAATCATTCCCTTCTGAATATCTTTTAAAGTTGTCTGCCTAGTGGTTCCTTTTGCAAACTGAACTTCCCTGGTTCTCTCAACATTGCCTCCTTAGGTGGAGTTTCTAGATTCCTCTCCGGGATGCACTCAGTGACTCTCTTGAACTATAACACTGGCAGGAAGATGACCTGCACAAAGTGGTCTAGAAGTGGTATGGCTTCCGCAGAGGCAGTTGTGGGCTCTAGGCCTCCAGCTGGACTCATGCAGGACATTGCTGTGGAATTCAGACCCTCAGCTGGATTCTTTGGGTCTCCAGGGCATGGACAGATCAGTTGCACTCTTCTGCATTTGACTTTTTGGGTCAATATTATAAAATAATCCTGTAAATTGGAAAAAAAAAAGTGTTATGACTTCCACAGAGGCAGTGGGATTGTCATCACCCTTGATTTCACCAGTGTGTTTCAGCTAATATGACCCAGGTCTGCAGTTACTTTTTAATTGTCATGCTTGTCAAGATGGCTTGTCAAGATGTCATCAGCTAGCCAGGCCCTCCCTAGGTCTTCTTCACATAGAATTCCTACAAGTGCTGAAGATGTGTCTGTGTAGCCCTTATCCCAAGGCCTCCTCTATCCCCATCACACACTGTTCTGTTTTACTCATGGCTCTGTCAGCATTTGAAATTATTTCATTGTCTTACTTATTATCTATTTCTCCCCCAGAGTATGCTCAGGGGAAGCAGTGTGTATTTTTTACTAACTTTGTAGATCTACACACAGTGTGTGTCACATACTGAGTGCTTAGTCTGAATGGATGAAGGATGGATGGGTGGGTGGGTGGATGGATGGATAAAGTCGGATATTCCCTACTCCATAGATAGCTACTTTTTTTTTTTTTTTGAGACCTAATATAAAGCTTCATGATTACAATATTAAAACTTTTCTTCCGAGTGTCCAAAAAGTTTAGAAACATAGAAAAACATACTGGCTTACTGATATTACATTATAAAATACAATACAGTCAGTAAAATAATGTTAAATCATGATAAGGTACATGATATACTCCGTATATTGTCCATCCTTGGCAGTGCATAGTTCAAAGTATTGAACAGAATGGCTGGGACTAAGGTTCATTAATGCAGCATTTCCATCAGTACCTACATATCTGTTGCCTCTGATGATCAGTTTGTGTTTTTTCACCGAAAAAACAAAAACCCGACCTGTTTCTTTAGCATGCTACAGGAAAAGTAAGAAAATCAACCCACATAAAAAGTTATCTCTGTTTCTAGGATTTATGACAAGTCTGTAGATAGATCTTGAACCTTGGACTTTTTATCTAATTGCCCTTGTCTGCCACCTTTATAGTCTTTTAAGAAGGTTATAACTCCAAGTCACTGGTGAAAAGTGTAGACCTAAGAGAATTGCATGGAACACAAGAGAAGGCTTCTTGACATTTCACTTTGAACCTCTAAGTGACTCAGTCACCGTGTCTTGAAGGTCCCTGTGCAGCTGGTGGCTGTGCTGGACTGTGGACATGCAAAACCTTTCAGGAGCGTGCAGGTCCCAGGGGAGGCAGTACCTGAGCTGTGAGGTGCTGCCCAGAGAGAATACTGCTGTGGTGATCACAGAGTGCACAGAGCTCCTGGCCAGTGCGGATAAGGGCCATCCCATCGCCGGGGGCCAAAGAGAAAGCTTTCTAGAGGAGGTGCTGTTTGAGCTGTTTTGTAACAAATAGCCAGACAAATGGTGACAGCTGAGTCTGCCAGAAAGCGTACCATGTAGGATAAGCACAGAAGCTTCCAATAGGGCGCTGGGTGCAAGAACGTATGAAGCCCAATTATGGGAATCCCGTAACCCCAGGATCGTGCACCCCAACTATCCAGGGTCTAATCGAGATAGAGCCAATGTTTGCCTCTTTTTGGATTCAAAATTCATAGTTGCTGTATGTAGCTTTCCCCTAGTGACCTCCTTAAGTAGGCTGTCTGGCCAGAAAACAATAGAGACTTCTGGTTTGACTTTTTTTCTCAAATCTGTGCAAGCTCTCAGAATCTGTCTTCTCCTTTGCAAAGGATTTAGGAACTTCTCTAAATTACATACAGCCTACAGTTTTTCCAGGCTTATTTGTCCATACAGCAGGAATTACATCTTTTCTTCTTGGGTAAATTGGGACATTTGCCAGAAATCGTTTTCTGGAGTTCTCTCTATCTGTACTAGTACCCCAGGAATCTGGTGTATTGGCTTTTTACCTTTTTTGAGGCTTGTCCAGAACTCTGGGATGAGAGCCTTTAGTGCCTGGAGATTTGGACTAAAGTAACTAAAAAGACAAACCACTTATTGTACCATACCTCCTCCTTGTGTGTCCAGTGTTTCATTTTTATTTTTTAGGGATCAGACCTCTAACCAGGGCTTCATGCTTGCCAGGCGGGTGCTCTACCACTAAGATTCCCAGCTTTTCCACTGCTTATATTTTTGATGCTTCTTTAAATCTTTCTAGTTAGGAATCCAGTTTGCTTTTTCAGAGAGGAAGGGCATAAAAGGCAGTTGAGTCATCTTACTTTCACTATCCTCTCTTAACATGCTACCAAGATTCCCAAGTGGTGGGCCTCATCCCTTTTCAAATTTTAACTCAAAATAATCCACCACCATCTTTTCTTTTTTACTTTTTTTAACCAACTTCAGTTTTTAGGGTTTTTTTAAGCCTTGGCTCAAGTTGGGCACTGTTCTCACAGAAATGTGTCATTCTTCTCAGTTTGTCCTTGGTACCGTGCCCTTCCTTCTATCTTCGTACACATCCTTTTCCAAACAGAACATGTCATGAAAAACACAATAGCTCCTTTAGATCTATCCATGCTGCCACCTCTCTGGGATTAGTCACTATTCATTTCATTTTGCAGGGCCTCTTTTCTTCTTGAGTTTCTCCCTTTCTTTGGGGTTGCAGCAGGTCACAAGCTCCTTCCTGTCTTTTCGGTACATTTCAAAGCATGAGACTTCAGTTCTTTCCTGTATTGGTTCCTGTGCTCCAGGTATTGAGCCTTCCTTGTAGGTGCTATGATACTGGAAGTTCACATCACTGCGAGCTCTGTAACCCCAAATAGGAATGACCCCCTCCCTCCATGCCTCTCCAGCCATCGGGAGTATGCACGCTAGCAAGGAACCCTGTTCTCGCCAGCTTCCCTCCCACAACATGCATTACAGCTTCTTGCGAGATTTCCATGTTGCTACAGGCACACACACCTCCCAGCCCGTCCTTTCCATTTGCTCATTCTCCTTTGAGCATGATCTATCACACGCCAGGCTTAAGTTCCATTTTGCCAAGTTCCAGTGACGCCTTGGATGTCCTGTTGTCTTCTTTGAACTCGTTGGTTAATTACCTTACTTTGTATGTTTTCGTACATACACCTAGATAAAAGGCAGAATCTTCTTGTGTGAATGAAGATGTTGATCATTGATCTGAATCTCTTGAAAGTCTTACTGCTTTCATTACCTTACTCTATTAACCCACTTTTCTAATTGATGACTGGTTGGGTAAAGTGTTCTTTGCTGAGATAGTACCAGTACATGTAGGGTAAATAAATATTCAAGTCAGGCAAGTGGTAAGAATGCACATTTTATCTGGTTTTTTTAGCTATATTCTGGGAAAGAACAGGGATGATAGAAAGTTAGCATTTAAGTGTATGTCCACTTATTGGTCACTCGTACTCCATTTCACCTAGAAAAATGATGACCCTGTAAATAGGTTCTAGGCCCCCTGATTTTGGAATCTCGCATGTCCCTGTCCTCTCCTGACCCCCGTGGTCAGCTCCTTTGCTGTGGCCCTCACTGTCCTCTGCACATGCCTCTCATAACCAGCCATACTGATAGGAGCACAGGGTTATGGAAAGGAAAGAGGCAGAGTCGGGTGGAGTCCAGGCATCAGCCACCCCCGACGCAAACATCCCCTGAAAATGCCATTCCTTGCCTGAAAAGTGAGGCAGAAGCAAAAGACCTCCTGTGGCTTCCCCAGGCACCACGCTCTGAGTCTAGCCAGGCCTGCCCTCCATTCTTGCTTAAATGTTTCATTGTAGCCTCTAATAATTACCCCCAGGAAAGGGACTTCCGGAAGGTCTAAATGCACCCGCCTTTGAGTAAGTGAATTTCTACTTTACATGATTGCAAAAGGTCTGTTAAGCAAGGGACTTCTCTAACAACTGACCAGTAAAGTGTTATGAGGCTTCAGAGGGGAAGGTAGTTTGGAATCTGCCCATTGTGAATTCAAAACCTGGATTTGTAGTTTGTCAGCTAAATAACCTTGAACAAGTTATTTACTCTCGCACTATTGATTTTTTTGTCAAGAAAGTGGAGTTTAAGAAGTCCTCCAAAGACCGCACAGGCCCTGAATCTGGGGATCTAAGTACTGGCCCACAGTAATCTCAAAACCTCCAGCCATAGACACACCAACTCTGTCCTCTTAGCTCTCCCAGAGAACAGTGGCTCACAGGACTGTCACTGGTGCCATGGGATGCTTAGACTTGCATTGATTTGCACTTCCTTCTCCCAGGCTGTCCATTTAATTGACAGCCCCAGCCCCTCACGTGGGTCATGATCTATCCGACAGCTGTAGGCCTGCCTCTTCACTGAAGGGGCATGTGAGGGCAGTTCTCGGTGATAATGTTGCTTCCCCAGGTGATAAAGCATCAGTATCTTCCCCACATAGAGAAAGAAGCACCAACATGAAGACCAAAATCAGAGAATAACAGTTTATGCTTTAAGTTGAACATCAAAAATAAAATGTGACTTGCATTTCCTTAAAGCAACCCTAACATACCCTGTTTTACACAGAACTTTTGTGAGATACAAAACAGTGGGAATAGTGAACTCTTTTGAGGTATGGCATTAACCAACCAGGACATCTCAAGGCCTTATCTTTAGTAACCAGCTTTATTTATATTAATATCATATAGATTATGTTTGAAAACTAAAACTATTTCTCAATCAAATACTAGCTCTTAGCGTGGGATTTTGTTTTATGTGAGGCTGTTGAACTGGCTGGATTTGTCTCTACTTGATCTCCTGGGATGTAGATCTACATTGAAATCCAAGAAATTTAAATACCCGCTTAGGAGACTTTGCCCTCTTTTGCTCCTCTTTTTATAAAAGTATTATTTTCCACCGGGTATGAGAGTGCATGCTTATAATCCCAGCTATTCAGGAGGCAAGAGGATTGGAAGTTCAAGGCCCACTTGGGCAATCTAGTGAGATCCTGTCTCAAAATAAAAAACTTAAAAAGGTAGAATATTCCTGGCTTTGATCTGTAGTATGAGGGGGGAAAGCCTTCGGGTTCCTTCTGCAGGCAGTGGGGCCTCTTTCCAGACAGGCAGCGCACCCTGGGCCTCTCTGTACTAGATTTCAAGAGCTACTCCTTTGGAAAACAGCTTGATAGCTTCTGAAGAGGGCCTGCTGTTATCTTGAGACTCAGAGACAAGCATGACATGGACTATCTGTCTGAGACTGTTCCCCGCAAAGATACCGCATAGATACACTAACTGCTATCTTTCCAAGACACTTGCAGACTTGATACGTTTCCTTGCCCCAAACCATTAATGAACCTTGTCACTGCTGTTTGTGCCCCAGCTCCTAGGTTTTTTTCTCTCCCTTTTGTCCTCAGATGTAAGAGCCTTATGGAGAAGGACTCTCTGGTCACACCAAGGCTCACTGTTCAACATTAACACAATGTCATCTTCAGAACTACATCCTCATCTATGCTGTTCCTCACCTAAGTACTTTTAGTCTTCAGTGCTTTTGAATTTCTTCTTTGACCAGAATACCCCGGGACCTGATGAAAGTAGTTCTTTTTCTTAATATGCTAGTCATACGACTTTCTTGCTCACAGTCAACACGTACGTGCTGTGACTGCACCTGGACAGGGAGCGGCAGTCGGAGACGCTGTCTTTGCGGCATGGCAGGACCCCACTCCATCTTTATGCCTCAATTACAGTTTCCGCTGGGATCGAGGGAGCCACCACGTAATTTCTGTCATCCTTTGATTCTCCAAGGAAACTTCTTAAACCCCAGCCATGCCTCAGTTCCTCCATGGGCTGTTCCTCCCTCATATACAGTATTACTAATTTCAATTTTATCTCGCTTTTCAGCCAACCCTGAAATTCATTTCTTAATTTGAGAGTATGAGAATTTTAGTAGCTCAAAGCCTGGATATTCTTGAAGCTGACAAGCTACCCCATTAAAGGGGAGCCACTGAGTGGGATAGGGTTAACCAGTGATTGTTATTTTCTTCATGATTTTCTGTATTGTACGAATTGTCCAATGAGTGTACATTACTTTTAAATCAGAAAAAAATGCTTTTTAAGAATGAGAAGCCTGGATAAGTGGTTTTTAAGCCTTTTTTTTTTTTTCCTTTTTAAAACTGAAGAACTCTAGAAAAAGGAAAGAGCAGCTGTTGTGGTTGAAGTGGGGTATGTCCAGGTTTCTGTGTGTCTGTCGGTGTGTTTTCTATGTGTTTACGCATCTAAATGTGTCTATGTATGTTTGTGTAGGTTTCTGTGTTTGTATATGTGCAATGTGTGTATTTCTGTGTATATGTGTGCATTTCTGTGTGTGTAAAGTGTATCTCCCTGTGTTGCTGGATATTCTGACTTTCTCATCCTCAAAAGGCAGCACCTATCTGGACCCTCTTTATCTTTCAGAAAGGAAATGAACTCTGTCCTCTTGTCTCTGCAGAGCTAAGACCTTCCAACAAAGCTTTCTGGGTTTGTTTGGCACGATCCCTTCTGATGGGCCCCACCATTTCTGGGAGGGGATGTTCCTTGTGTCTGTAAATTAACAGAGCCTGGTTCCCCCTGTACTCTGGGACTGTGCCTGAAGGAGTGGGGGTGGGGGAGGGAGAGGAATATCGTCTCACAAGCAGATCTCTTTTTTTAAGACAGCCTTTTCAGAATAGATGTAAAGAAGTGATTCTTGGAGATCTTTTTAGCAGGATTTGAGCACCTCCCATGGACCCAACTTCGCGTGCCTGGTGATCCAGTTCTCTCCCTCTGTGAAAACACTAGAAGCCTCTCCATTTCTGGAAGGGCCGCACTCCTTACCTTCCCTAAAAGTGATGGCTTTTGTTAAACAGGATGCAGAGGAGGGAAAGGACTAAGTCATGCATGTGTCAGGGACTCACAGGAGGCCAATGAGCCACTCCTCGTAATGTCCTCTGTCCCTACTCCTTGTGTGGCCCTTGTGCCATCACCAGTTCGTGGTGACCCATCTTTGAGCCTAAGGTTGAAAAACCTGAATAGAACCTTTTGCAACAGCTAAGGATTCAGTGAACTGCTTGCTGCTCCCTGAAATCTTTGAGGAACACAAGTTTGGAAGAAGACCTATATTTAGGGGTACTTGATTGAAAATCACCAAAGGAGCATGTCATAGGCAGAAGTTAATGTGGTTTCTAGGAGCTCCCACTCCAAGGCTCAACTCAGTCTTCATCAGGGTTGTTCACATTTCTTTTCCCTACTCTAAGCTTCAGTTCTTCTGTTCTTCAGAAGATACTACTGCTTCCTGACACCTAGGGTCCTCATGACTATTAATCCTGAGGATCACCTGACGGTGGTCGTGGAGTTACGGTGATGGTTTTATAAATGCTGACTCTTACTGTAATTATTTGTGCGGCACTTCCTCAGACTGCCTTCCCACCCGTCCACCTCCTTGGCAAGGTTGTGGCCAAGACTCTGAATGGTTATGAGGAAGGGGAGGCGCATTTCCCTTTTGTGTGTGTGTGGCTTTACTTTGGATGAGGGAGCATAGCTGTGAGGCTTTGAGGAACCTGCCTGAGTCCATGTCAGCACTACCTGGACTGATAGATGCGGGGTTTGGCTCTAGGACATCAAAGGTGTCACCTCTGCAGGCACAGCTGGAACCACTTCTCTACTTCTAGAAAGAGCTCTTTGTAAACCAGCCTCCAGGAAGGGAAGATCCATTCATACCATTTTGACTACTATTTTTCGGGGGCTTCCTTATTGTCATTCCAGAATAGTTTCTGTTCTAGCCACACAGTCCCTACGCAGAGGCTCTTACACTCGCTTCTCCAGAAACTCCTTAAAACTGAGGCTCATGCAGAAAATCAGTCCACATCCCATAGCTAAAAAGTGAGAGCTGAAGTCTAAAGCCAGCTTTTTGAGACTCTAAATCCCATCTGCTTTCTATTACCCCACATTCCCTCACTCTCATTTTCCTAAAAGTACTATTTTCCACTGACTTTAGGCCTCTAGCATATGACTGTATATTGAAGAGAGTTCCCATTAAACATTTCCTATTTCCCTCTGCCAGAATAGTATTTTCCAGAAGTACCAGATATATGGCCATCGTGAGCCTGCCTGCTTGCTCCCAGATGGAAAGAGCTTTGATCCAGACACAGGCTGTTCCTTGATCAGGTCATCAGTGTCTCTACTCCTTCCATTCTTTTCTGGACACTTATTCCAGGACAGACTTGAATACGCCACATTTGCAAGTTGACCACATAAACACTGGCCTTTTCTGGAGACTACCGGAACCTTCTTGAAGCTTGACACCTGCAGTCACCCTCTGAGACCAGCAAGTAGGGTGCTTAAGGAAATGAACCGCCCTGGAGGAAAGATGGAGCCACTCATCTGCTTTGGAGTTCCTTCTTCAGGATCCAAGATGGACAGTCTAAAGGAGGTGCCTCATCAGCCATCAGCTCCCTCAAGTTGACCTGCAGCTTCCTTTGTTATGTGCCACCTTCTGCCCTGTGCAGGAGCAACTGATGCTGTGTAGGTTCCCTTCCTGGAAAGAATGTTTCTGCTATTCTAACATGGGTAGAAGGCATCACATTCTTTGCTAATAATATCTGCATTTTAATTGCACCTTTCTGTCCTCACTTCTGGCATCTGTTTATTCCTTCTTCTCCATCACTGGAGAAGCTGCCAAGGAATACTACCAGAAAGCTGTGCCTTGCCTTTGGCTTTCTTTGTGCTGCTCTCTCAATGAACTTAGCGCTCTACTTTTGCAGTGTTCTGTCTCCTAACGTTTGTGCTTGTCCCTCAGGGGCCATTTCTTTTTTACTTTCATCCCCTTCATTTTTTCTGAGTGAAAAATAAAATTTGATTTCCAGGGTTATCTTATCCTTCTAAAGGCTAGCTCTCTGGCCTGTCATAATCTCTCTTCTCAATAGCTTCCTTAATCTCTCTTATCATCAACAATTTATTTTCAATAAACATGGTTTTATGAAGCCTCGTATTGTCTGGATGGGTCCAGCTTCTGACAGTCTCATGTGATCCACTTGTCATCAACTCCGTGTCTTCCTGGCATGTCCCCGTAGCTGGGGTGGTCAGTCCCTAGGGTAAGAGTGGGTTGGGATGACACAGTCTCAGGCTTTTAGGAATCATGTCATGATCTGACTTCTTTGAGCCCTGAGCTCTTGGGACATTTGGGTCTAAAGCCTCTTTGGGTTTGCACAATAGGAATTTGAAGTTTTAAAAATGTGGTTTCCTCTGTGCTCCTTGCAGTTATTCACTTCCATTTACTGGATGGTTAGAGGATCTCCTTTGTGCCATTCATGGTCCTTACTATCCCGGAACTTATGGTCTAGTGGACAAGAAAGATGAGTTAGTCAAGCAGTTATGCTAAACCATGTGAAGTTTCATCGTGTGTTTGCAAGAGAGGCACGTGGGTCTATAAAAGCACAGAGAGTGAAGGACTGGTCCTCAAGGTGTGGTCTCCAGACCAGCAGCCTCTTCAACCTTTCTGAACTTTTTAGAGGCACAAATTGTCAGCCTCCCACTCCAGGCCCACTGGATTCGAAATTTTGGAGTGTGTGGCCCAGCATCTGTGTTTAACATGTCCCCAAGAGACTATGACACATACTTGGGTTTGAGAACCCCTACTCCAAAGGGTCAAAGAAGTATTTTCTGAAGAAATAACTTTTGAGTTACTAAGGAAACTAGACCTTGGGGAAGAAGAAAGGAAATAGTTCAGACAGGAAAAATGGTATGTGTTAAAGTGCTGTAGCCAGACCAGGGAGTTTTGAAACTATGTACCCATAATAGAAAGAGCAGTCCAAGATCCATCTGCAGGGGCCATCATTTGCAGGTCAGGTAGGCACCACTGAAAACTGAGTCGTAGGAAACTTCACGCTTCAAACACGAGATGACACCATGTTACTTGCTCTTATTTAAAGGGTGAGTCTAGCTCCATTATGGAGAAAGGACTGAAGAGCAAGTCGACCAATTGGAGATCATTGCAGTTGTCAAGGGAAAGATGACGGTAGCTTGGACGAGGGTGGTATCTGGAGGCCTGGAAAGAGGAACACATAATCCCAAAATTCACAGGTAAAAGCCATAGGCTTCAGTCATCAGTTGGAGGTGTCAGGGATGACTCTAGTGTTCCGAGTTTCCATGCAATATGAAGGATAATGATACCAGTTTTGGCAGTGGAAAGAGATCTTGAGAAGAATCTGCTGAGTTTGGGGTGCTTTCGAGCCACCCAAGTGGAGATAACAACTAGATGGTAGAAATTGCATGTCTAGAGTTTAGAAAAGTCACAGCTGGAGATACACATTTGTGAGTCAACATCTGGTTGACCATTAACATTAGTGGGCCAAGCTGTCACCTTGGGACAAAGAATAAGGTAAAGAAGAGAAGAAAGCTAGCACTGCTCATGGAGGAACATCAAGTTCAATGATCAGATGGCAGAAAATGACCCATAAAACAAGCTTAGAGTAAAGTGCCAAAAAGAAGAAGGCGCTCCTGGCACCAGGAAGCTGTGGCATCAGAAATCCTTGGAAGAGAAGGTTTCCAGGACATTGATTAGTGGTGGTGGGAGGGAACAAGGTGAGAGGAGACTGAAGAACGCCTGTCACGCAAGTAACACACAGATTGTTCATGGCTTTAGCAAAGTGTGTTTCAGTGGAGTGAAGAGAGCAGAAGCTGAAATACGAGAGACAAGGGAAAAGGGAAGGTGAGCAGGAGTGAGTGTGGCCAGCGCTTCAGAAATGGTGCTGTCTTACTGTCTGGTGTATGTAATAGCACCATGTATCATGCACTGACACTTAGTCAGTAAAAATTAACCCCTTTAAAAAAAGAAATGGTAGTAAGGAGGAAAGAGCACCAGCTGATAGGGGATGTGGAGCTGCGCGATGGCTCTGACTCGTCTGTGTTGGGAGCGGGTGATTCAAGCATCCTGAGCTCGTGGTTTAAAGGAGCATGTTGAAGAAACTATAGCGCTGCGACCCTAAATGCAGGAGGAGAGGCACAGAGGGGTGTTGATTCTGGTAGCTCCTGCTCTCGGCCTGTTCTGACCCTCTGTGTAACCTCCCCAGGCCTGCTCCTCTGACCTGGAATGCCAGCTGTTGCTCCCTTTCTTGGCGTTTCTCCTCCTCCTGTCCTGTCTGCTCTCAGCTTCTCTCCTGCAGCCTGCTTGGCTGTTTTCCTCACTTCGTTCACCCCCATTAAGTTATTAACTCGCCAAGGTCTAGACTTCCCACTTCCTTTGGCTCTTTGAACTCACTGTTGGCTCTTTTCCTATTCACCAGCTCAGCAAGTCAGCATTTAGGTTATTCTGCAGACATGCAGAATTACAATTAATATAATTGGTGTCAAGTGTGGAAGACTTAAAGACATTGCTACAACTGAGAAGGGAGCAATGAACATGCCCACCTCTCCATTATCCCCTGCTCCTGGTGCTTGGGACTGAATGCTGAGGCTTGCATGTGCGAGGCAACTGCCCGGTCTGTCCTCCAGCAGTTTTTGTTAAATTTTATTTTGAGGCAGGGTCTCACTGAGTCGCCCAGGTTGGCCTTGAACTTGGGATCCTCCTACCTGAGCCTCCTGAGTAGCTGGGCTTACAGGCATGTGGCACTGCACCCAGCTTCTCCAGGTCCTTAGACATGAACTTAAAATAGACTTTATTCAAAGTATATTGTGAGGGTTTGGTTTTAAAGGGCCACAATTACACACTGGATTTTTATAAGTTAATTTATGGATTCAATTAGGATTAAGAACGATCTTTAGTGTCTAAAGCAGACTCAAAGAAACATGCTGCCACTCTGAGACATGCAAATTGTGTCTAAGACTCTTCAGATAGATTTGCAGCAGTTTCTTAAAGATAGAGTGGCTTTATCATTCCTTAAAACTTCTAAAATCATCAGTTCACTTAATGTGGTGTATGGACAAAGACCAGACAGCTTCCTGTTCACTGACCTACATCCCACCAGTCATTTCTTACCTAAGGACAAGATTGAGAAAGAAAACATTTTTGACCATCTCTCATGCTCAGATCTTTTACATGTGCTGTCACATTTATTCCTCAGACTCCTCTGAAGTACTTATTTGAAGATACTTATTTTACAGATGACAGAGTGAGGCTCAGAACTGCGGCAGGCAGTATAAAGGCTGATCTTTCTACTTACACATGGTGGAGCAGTAGCTGTATCATTGTAATACTAATGTAATAATAATGTACCTCTAAAGTGAAAATCTGAAATTTGAAGTGCTCCAAAATCCAAACTTTTTGAGTGCCACAAGTGGAAAATTTCACACTTGGCCTCATATTATGAGTGGATCAAGTCAAAATGCTGATGCACTAAAAATATTGCATAAAATTACATTCAGGCTATGTATTTAAACTGTATATGAAACATAAATGAATTCCATGTTTAGACTTGGATACCATCTTCTATATATGCAAACATTCCAGAGTGAAAAAAAAAAAAGCTAAAATCTGAAATACTTCTGGTCCCAAGCATTTCAGATAAGGGGGAGGGGGGCTTCATGTATGTCATACAATTACATCCCTGTGACAGCTCTGCAAAGACCATCATCCCCATTTTAAAGATGAGAAAACAACTGCAAAGAGGTTAAATTATTTGTCCAGTCACACAGCTATTTAGTAGTTATGATTCCACTGACCCCAACATTCCTCTCAAAAGTCATCTTGTTTGTCAAGATAAAGATGGTTCCCTGAGCCCCAGAACAAAGTCTGAGAGATAGATTTTTTTTCTTGGTACTGTTGAATTTACAGCTGCCTCCTGGCATCCCTGTTGAGCCAAAATACAGAATGTTTGTTTAGTCTTTCCTGCTTGTCAGTCTTGGTAAGGAGGACGGCAACATCAGATAGTTCTGCAAGCTTCTAAGTTTTGATAGTGTACTTTCTCATCTCTCTAGCAGCATCCTCTGTCAGGACAGACACAAGAACTCAAAATTAGCCAAGAAAACCGCAAGCAAAGCCAGAATTAAATATCGCAAGTTGTTGAACTAGCTCTTTCACTTATCTTTGCAAGAGTCCCTTAGCGCTCACATGGAACAGATTGACTTCAGTTTTACACATGAATTCTAAGGGTCTCTGTTTAAACTTCATCTACAGCAACAAAAATAGTTGAGGAGGGCCCAGTGCGGAGGAGGGCTCACTGCAGAGTGTAGTAACAACAGAGACATGACCAGAGATAAGAACCAGGAGACAAAAAATGACAAGAAACAGAAACAAGAGCCCAGAAGCACAGCCAGGAAAGCTGCTCTGGTGCCAAACACCCGTACCCTTCGTAAGCATATCCAACAGTGGATTGCCAGTTCTTTTTCCACTGTGATAGAGACACTGAATATTCGTGAGAAGTTAACATTTTGTCTGGCGATCTCCAGTTTAGGAAAGTAGTGACCCCGCGAGAAGTGTGTCTTTAGAAAATGGGGGAGAAGCCTCCTACCCACAAAAGCATTAGTACTTTATCCTTAAAATCCAACAATTAGTGAATTATTCCCCAGAACCCTCTGTGCTATTTTTCTTTATATTTCTGAGGCACAGTTCCTGGCACATAATACAGGTTGAACAGCCATAATCCAAAACTCCAAAATCTGAAAGTTTTTGAGCAATGACGCGATGTCACAAGTGGAGAGTTCTGTGCAATGAAGCACTGATTTATGCACAAAATTATAAAAACATTTTGTAAAATTGCCTTTAAGCTATGTTTATAAAGTGTATATGAAACACAAATGAATTTCGTGTTTAGACTTGGGTTCCATGCCCAAGATATCTCATTGTGTATATGCAAATATTCCACCCCGCTAGAAAAGCCCAAAATGTCAGATAAGGAATACTCAGCCTGTATCTGCCTGTCAAGGCTGGATAATAGCATGTCAAGCTGCTCTCTGGGGGTTGGGTAGCCCTGTTTTGCTGTGGTCACTCAGGCAAGCTGCATTCCTGGATATATTCCAGGATAACTTTATGAAACATGGAGGAGGCTAAGACCCTGAGAGTTTAGTACGAATTCTGCTTTCACATGTAATTAAGTAAGATGATACTCGGCCTCCTTTCAAATGACAATAATAATATTAAACATTCAACTATATATAATTGCTTTTATTTATTATCATTGTCTTCACCAACAGTAACTAGTGCTGATCACTGGGTAAGGACATGAAAAAGAAGTTGGGACACAGTTGAAATCCCATAGCTAGAACCAGGCTGAGAAATATTGAATCAGAGCTCCCAAAATAAGTGGGGATTCAGAACACACACACACTCCCTCTCCAGCCTGCCAGTAAAGCTGGATTTTCCTGGGGCTTCAGAACACACACACACACTCCAGCTCCAGCCTGCCAGTAAAGCTGGAGCTCTCTTGATTCAGCCTCGATCTAAATGAGAGACAATTGCCCTTCAGAGAGTCCCAGGCAGCCGGAAGGTGCAGGTGCACATAGGTCATGGGCAGCCAGAGGCCCAGCTTCGGGCATCCATTCCCAGCACCTGGCCTTCCTTTCCCGCACAGAGCCGTGGGTTTTACAGGTCATGGCCATTTTGAAAAGGCCAAATCGCTGACCTGTTTAATGAGTGCAGTTTCTGCATGAAAGCCCACATCCCTCTCCCCAGAGGCCAGGAAGCATCGCTGGGGTAGGGGGACCAGTTCTCTGCTCTGTGCCTCAGGGGTTTCTGGCCTTAACTCCTGGTGGAATTAGCAGGAGTTATCTGTAAATCCCTGAGGCATCTATCAGCAGACTGAGCCAGGCTGCTTTTGAAAGATTCACTGACCCCTTATTAACTCAAGTCCTTGTTAGGAAATATCTAATCAGCTGTGAGCCAGCACACCAGGGGCGCAGGGGTCAGCAGGAGTGGGGAGCTGTGGGTTGGGTCCAGCTGTGTGCTGTCTGGTGACTGAGTTGTTTTGCTTTCCACTTGCAGCTATCTTTCAGATCATTCAGAGCATAAGGATGGGGATGTGAGGAGGCCCAGACATCTGGCTCTGTGCCCTCCCACCGGAGAGGGGAAGAGCTCGCAGGCCTTTGGCAGGTACCTGTGGGAAGCAAACCAGTCACACAGAAGAGAAAGAAGGGTCCCCTATTGTTCCTGGTCACTTCAGCGAGGGAGTCAGATCAGATTGCCTTCTCACAGGACCTCTCAGTGCATCCGTGTCTCCGAGCAGAAAGGACACTCTGCTTTTCTGTTGGCCGGATTGTTAGCCAAGCGGGTCATCTGCAGCAGCACTGTCTGTCTGGTTCCCTCCCTGAGTTTCACTAATGTGTGCATGTGGCCCCTGAATGACCACTGGTTTTCTGTCTACTGATAAAATCTCTTCTCTGTCAGAAATTGGTTTTACAAATAAATGTCTTCATTCAAGCTTATGCCATGTGTGAGTTACCAGAAGAAAAACGAAGGGAACAAAATAGCAGAATAGTTCAAAGGGGATGGGACAGGTGGGAGGAAATTTTTTTATGCAATGGGAAAAGAGAAAAAGAATCCTCAGATGGGGATCCAGAGAGATTTATCTAGCAGGTCAGAAGAATGAAGCTCTGGCTGGTTCTAATGACCTGGGGTTTCCACATATTTGACTTGTCTTTTTCTTTGTTAAAATATGTTTTTGTCTTTTTTTTTTTTTTCAGTCCAGTAAAGGTATCTGCAGTGTATGTTAAGGTCTGACTATCTGTTATCTCTTCTGGGCTCTGCCTCAGAGGATACACAGAACAGATGTCTTAGGCCTCTCAGTAAAAGCCATCACTCCAGGGCCCAGCAGCTGACTCCAAAGCCTGGAGCAGGAGCCCTGCAGCACCCTGGGTGGCCAGCGAGGAGGAGACAGGAGGCCAGGCTCACTGGTAAAGCCCCCCTCTCCCTGACCAGACTTCCCACAGCCTCTCAAATTGTGGTGTCACCAAACAAAGTTACAGGGACAACCACAGAGATCCAGACAGGAGCACAGTTCCCATGCAACTTGAAGCATGCCTTTATTTTTTTTAATTCCATCTTTTCACTGGCATTTTTTTTTCATTCCTTAATATTGTGAAAGCTGTAAAAAGGGAAGTGGCAGGAATAAGGGGTTTCCTCTCCCTTCTCTCTCCCTTCCTTTCCTATTGAAGCTGGTAAGAGGGCACCTCTTAAACCAGTGGCCCCGGGGACAGTCCGTCAGCCTTGTGCCAGGGCCCAGGCCCAGCTGCCTGCTGTAGGCTGAAGGAGAAAGGCCACAGCCCTCTAGGCCACAGGGACTGCCCCCTCCTACACCTTTCCTGACCTTTTAGTTGCTTTGCCTTGTCTTGTGCACATGAATTTCTCTTCTTTCCTAATGCCATCAAAAGCACACCCACTAGGCCACCGCTGAAGGCCACCACGGGCTGGAGTGCGGTAGTCCACCCTCTATGGGACAGCATTTCTCTTCCCCTATTTGTACTCTACCATAACAGCAGTAGTCAAGAGGGTAATATCCCCATTTCAAAGAAAGGGAAACTGAATCTCAGCCAGAACCAGCTCCAGAAAAATCCACGTTGACCCCAGGTGACAGTTGTGTTAGGCTGAGCCAAACTGCCATCCAAAAAACTGCTGGGCTGAGCTTTATCACCAGGCTCCGCAGTCACTCACAAATCAGTTTTCTCCTTGTTTCAAGGGAGCCACCCTGAAGTGCTTCCACACTACAGACAGTCCGTCCTCCCTGCTGGCTTCTCCCGTCAGTCCTCGGCAATTAGAGATGAGAGCTGCCATAGGTGAATGAGGGTCATCACTGTGGACCTGTACAGCAGCGACAGCAGACATTCTCACTGTAACACAGTGAGCAACACATAGCGTCCAAGTGCACAGCATACCCATGGAAGCACGTTTTACAGAACAACACCTAGCCTCACCAAACAGTGCACTGTGCTGTTTTGCTTCTGGTCTATTTAATTTTTAAAATTCTGGTTGTACCTCGACCATTGATTTCCTAACCCAAAAATAGGCTTCAATCCAGTTTGAGAAACAATGATTTTCAAGGGAAATCCAAGCCCTTAGTAGAGGGCAGATAAGTAGGAAAGGGCTTGAACCACCCCAAGTATCCTGATGAGAATCTAAGTCGCATCCTCAGTCGGTTCACATACCTGGCACATAATAAGAGACTTCTTTTTGTGCTTAAGGCATGTTGGTTGATCTTAGAAGGTAGGTGGAAGGAGGCTGGCGAACCTGTGAATCGAGCTCCACCCTGATCCCACTGAAACACAGTGAAATGAAACTGTGCTCCAAGGAAAACCAAAAGGAGACCACTACATTGTTATGATCTGCCTGAGACCAGAGCCTCATACAACCTTCTCAGATTGATGTAACAGGCTCATTCCGGTGTTAGTCAACACAGGGGAAGCTGTGCTGCAGTAACAAGAAGAAAAACTCAGTGGCTTCACAAGAAAACATTTACTGTTTATCACACATGTTTGACACAAGCTGGCCAGGACTTGCCTGTAAGGAGTAATTCAGTAACTGCGTTCTGCAGCCATCCCAAGATAAGGTGATCTCCGCATCTGAAAGAAAGGAAAGTCACACGGCACCTCTTGCCTTGGCCCCAAAGTGGCACTTCAGGTCCACTCACCACTGTTTGCCCAAGCAGTCATCTGACCCAACAATTTGCAAAGAACCCTGGAAATGCCAGGATGCATGTGGTTTTTTGGTGAACTATATTTCTGCCATAATCCTCCACTTCCTGTCTTTTCTGCATGTGGTATGATTGGAACACCAGACTTTAGTTGAGGTTTTCTAGCCAGCGTCTCTTTCGGAGAGACTTAATATCTCCATGCACTTTGTTCTAGAGCTACGCCCCTGTGTACAGAGCACAGATGATGAGTGAGTGGCTTTCTGTGAGCTCCTGGAAGGTGATCAAGCCATTACACTTTTAAGCATGAAAAGGAGTATCATTAATAATTCTCCCATGACACCAAACTAGCTACACTCAGCCAGCCTGGACACATCAGGACATATTATCAACCAGGCCATAGGTAGATGCAGACACTGGGCTAAGTCAAAAGGTTTTAGAGTTCCACAAGCCCGTTGTTCACTGCATGGGGCAGTCTCCCTAAGAAGAAACTTAGACTCCAGTTTTCCCACAAAGTGAGTTAGGTTGACAGTCAATGCTCATGGAAGAGTTTAATCCTTGCAAGATGCCCCTCTGTTAGAGGCTATAATTATGTGTCTTACAGGTAGGAGACTGAGACCCAAAAGTTTTGAAAAAATTGCCCAAGGTTAAGTAGTTAGAATACAAGGACTCTGAGATTCAGAGCACACAGGCCTCAGCATCTGTGCTCTTCCCCACAGCACTGCCGTGGGAAAGGACACACGCTGAAGACAGGTAGAGGACTTCCTTCCGGCTGCTCCACATCTAAGACAAGGAGTAGCGCCTGGAATTCAGTACATACTCAGGAAGTGAATAAATCCATCAATCAATGGCCTTTTGTTGACTATGTGCTATGGCGAGGGTCAAATTGTAGAAGGCAAGATAGAATCCTAGAAATAACCCAGGATCAGAAGGCAGGGCACTGGGTTCTTTCCTATCACTTTGTTCTGTGGACCTCAGTGTGCTCACGAGCATATTGAGGATATCCTGTCCTTCCCAGGTCTGAGGCAGGAAACAAATGATACATGTGTGCAACACTGCTTTTTAAAAACTATAAGATGCTACACAAATTATATATATAAACATTTGTATATAATTACATAGTAATCGTTGTTGGCAGCCATATAATAATACAATAATAATTGCCAATCAGGGCAATCTCTGTCAGATTGCACAGAGAACACTGCTTTGTATTCAAGATCATCCCCCACCATAGCCCAACCTCAGGCTGTGCTCTCAGCAGTGGGGGATGATGGACGGGTCAGCACAGTCCACCCCATCAAGTGGACAGAAAGCCTCAGTGCCCCTCCTACTAGCAATGCCACAATTCTCCGTGTCATTATTGCTATGTATAGTCATTTCTGAAGGAAAGTTTAGGCAAGTCTCAAAAGTGATTGGCTGTGCAAGGCTGTGCTGTGTCACTCCTGAAGAGAACAGAGATAGACCAGGCAGCAACTCACACCCCACTGAGATGCAAAGCAGAGAGGCAGGAGGAGAAAAAGGAAGGCTGGATGGAGGAAGAAGAGAGAAAGGGGGATGAGGAGCTAATGCAAAGCACAGTGACTATGGTTAGTTATAGCAGGTGTCAGTTATAGTTAGTTATAGCAGGTTTTAAATGTGCTCACCACTCACACGTACACAAGTGATAGCTAATCAAGGTGCTGGGTGTGTCAGCTAACTTGATTGCCATTACACTGTACAATGGAGACATATATCAAATAATCTTAAATGTATACAATTTTTTTTCATTTATACTTCAGTAAAGATGGGGAAGAAAAGGGAGAAAGACAATAAAAGAGGGAAGGAAAGGAACGAGGGGAATGAAGGGCATTTTCTTACTGTTTAGTATGTAATTCACTTTATCACTCACAAAAGCTCACGAAACACGTTTGGCTACAGCTGCTGGCAAGGCATGGTACACCGCCTGCCCTCTGAGTGTCCACTCTGCAGCGCGCCTCGGGGAAAGGGCCCAGGAGGACGGTAGTGCTGTCTCCGGCCCCCAAATCTGTATGTTTCTATATGGGAAGAGGATTCACTTTTCCTTTTTTACCTTTTCATTGGCTAGGAATGTTTTGATAAGCCATCTTCACCCCTGATGTGCTGTGGGTGTCATGGAACATATGAGAGTAGAATAAAGATATTTCTCTCTCCCTCTCCCTCTCTCTCTCTGTCTCTATCTCTCTGTCTCTGTCTCTGTCTCTCTCTCTCAGTCTTTCTTTGTGTACAGGGGATCAAGCCCAGGGCCTCCCTCATTTGAGGCAGATGCTCTGCTGCTGAGCCATATTTCTAAAAATAAGGTACGAACCGCGCTGCCAGAACTGGACCCACAAACGGAAAAACAGCCGCCATCCTGCCTTGCGGGATAGCTGCACTTCTGGGGCTCACTAAGAGCAGAAGCAGGGAGGCAGGAGGTTGAGACACCTCAGCCCATTCCTGGACCCCCAGGAGCAGAGGCACCCTGCACTCTAGGCCCTTCCCCCCATTCAGTGCACAATCGAATTTTCCTGCTGTGGAAGTCCAGTGGCTACAGAGCACATAGCAGCTGTCTATGTGACAATGACACAAAAAGTGCCTGTATTAAAGATGCATCCACAAACCAGCATCTGCCCTCTCTTCTGGAAGCTAATTTAGAACAGTAAAAGGAAGAGGAACGGTTGCAGCTCTGCTTTGTGCCCGTGTGTGAAAACACAGACTTCTGCACAGAGAAAACATCTCCTTCGCTTCTGTACAGCAGCAGCTCCTATCCGGGCATTTCTGGTTTCCAGCAAACAGGCAAAAGATGGC